GGCGGGATAGTCTGGATGCGCGGGTGTCGACATCAAAGGTATTTGTCGACCACCCAGGTAAACCTCATCCCAGGAGGCAAACCTGGGAGATCAGCTATTTGTCGGCTCAGCGCGGCAGCCATGTAAATTTAAATGAAGCGGTGATTATTTAAATCGCCGCTTCATTTTCCTACGTCTGGTAGCCTAATCTACATGCCTCTGGCGACAGAGGCATGTAGTCTAGACGTACCCTTTGTAGTAGCAAGCACTGTTAGGAAAAATACAGGTCTGAAGGTTGACTGATTTGCTCAAAGGGGTAACCCTGTTTAGTCCTAAACTATCCTTGCTCAAAGTAAAATGAACACCAATCAATATTCCTGTATTTAAAAAAAAAACACCCTAGACATGCTTTGGTTAATGTACGTGAAAACATTAAACTTATCGTTAACACAGACACTAGCAATATTGCAGCAAACAAATAAAAGGTAATGACCGTATTTACAAATAGTATGTTTTACACATTTAATACATTCTACGTTCAAGTTGTACCTCCAAAAACCGTCGTTCTCTGGTCTATCAACATCTGTGATCCTGCTGGAACACAGATGCTCTTGGACCAGAGAGCCCAGGAGCCTAAGGGCAGGAGGGCCAGCTGGCCCAGGGGAGTGTGGAACCATGGCTGGAGCCCTGTGGCAGCCTCCAGCAGTTCACAGCAGTGCAGGGCCGGGACTGGAGTCCCCTGACAGTCTGGGTTGCCATGGGAGCGCGAGGCTGAGTCTGGAGCCCTCTGGCAGCGCAGGATTGGAGTCTCTTGGCAATCTCCAGGAGTGGGGAGCTGGAGCTGGAGTTCCGGGGCAACCTCCTGGAGCATGGTACCGGAGACCAGCAGCAGCTCACTGGAGGGTGGGGCTGGAGCCCTGCGGCAGGTGCTGGAGCCTTTGCCACTCAGGGAGCCAGCAGCAGCTGGGCAAAGAGGTTAGCCAGTTTGGGGGGGAGGCTGAGGAAGGGTGCCTGCTGGGGAAGCCTGCCAGCAGCAGGCAAAGGATTTGGGGGCTAGTGGAGGAGTCCTCCCCTGGTCTGGCAAATTCTCTCATTTGGGACCGATGGTGCCAGACCCGGGAGGTCCAACCTGTACTAGTGTGTTAGGCTAATGCGATTCAGTAGATTGCAAACAATGACACACTTAGTAAAACTTTCTCAGAAATGATGCCTGGCACTTTTGCACATGCAATTACTAACATACTAACAGTCCTATTTTGCATGTGCATATCACTCAGATGAACAACTATCCAGTCTTTATAAACAAACAACTGTAAATGCAAAATTTACAGATGTAATTTGAGTTTGTAGGTCAAGGCAGCCTTGAAAGTATAACACTTCTGTGTGTAATTATAGAGGACATAACAGAAAGAAAACCTAAAGAGCTCAAGAGACAGAGGGGTTTAGTGAAAATGCCTTGAGGCATATTAGAACTTTCTATATATGGAACTGCTTAACTTAATGCTCCATAATAAATATTGAAGTATTTAGACTTTATACTATCATTCCCTTAAGCACTGGCAGTACCTTGAAGCTTGGAAGAAAAATCCATGGGGGGGGAAAAACCCCAAACCATGCATAGCTCTTGCCAATAGTTCTGATAACAATATATATTTACTTATCCCGATCCTGCCACCTCACTCATTTTGCGCAGGAGTTTTGCTGAGAAAAATCTCCAAGAATAGTCCTTAGTTCTCCAATCCCAATTTTTGTTTAACATAACCCATCACTGTCATATTTTCAGGGAGTAAAAATATGTGTATTCTGTAGGGCATAAACAGTGACAACCTGAACTTTATTTAAAACAATGGGACCATTTTCAAGGCTTCCAATTAAAGCTCAATGCTAAGGATGGGGCAAACTGCCTTTTCTTATCAGACTGTCTCCATTTTAATTCTTGAATTAGCTACTTGTAATCCAGATGCTCACTTGACACAGCAGGTCTTAACAGCTGGCCATATGAACATCTGCCAGTTGAACAGAAAGGCATAGGCACAGAGATACAAACATAATGAAAATTTTCTCCACTTAAAAAATAGTTTCACTTTTTGCTTTAATTACAACCCCCTGGAAATGAGGCTTCACATACTCTTGAAACATGTGCAATAAATAATTTAATATAATTTCTTTCCCGAACCATCTGATTTTATTGACTACCAGAAGATCCCCAAAATGAATGCTGACCTAAACTTTCAAGAAGGATCAGATCTCTTCCATGTATTAAAGTCCACGATACATTACTCCAACACAGGGTGCTTCTGAGCACACAACAAAATGGAATTCAAGCATTGTAGATTTTTATTTAAGCAGAACAACCAATCCTCTCTTAGTCATTCACTCAAGCAATACCATTTGGTATGAAACAATTTCTATCTTCAGCTGCTTAGGTCATTGTGTTCCAAAAGTATTACACAGTGTGCAAAAGAGCAGAGTCAAATACAGCCACCATTTGCTTATGCATCATCCAAAGCACATACTTTCAACCAAAAGGGAAAAATCAAGCCATTCACCTGTCTTGAGTAGAAGAGATGCCAACTAGCTAGTCATTTACAAACTAGAACTTAAAAAAAAAGACATTCATAAGAGCTGAGCAAGGAAAAGTAAGGCAACTTGATACTACAGAGAAACTCAAGCCAGTGAATTGTACATACCAGCTCTACTACACAAACCATCCAAACCTCCCCAGCAGCAAACTCCTATGGCCAGCATGACTGTTAATATAACTGATATTTTTACAGCAGGATACATTCATATAAATAATTCAGGTGTTGGCCTCCCCTAAAAATATGCTTCCAACCTTAACATTTTTTAAAATGACTTTTGTTTGTAAATAGAAATGTTTTCCTTTTGGCCTATTTATGCACAGGAGAGACTTGCCGTTGTCCCTTGTCTGTAGCCAACAAATCCCGTAATGTATTTTACCCTTATCAAGCACGGAATGCCAATAATTTTAGTAGACTCTGCAGCAGCCAAATTGAAAGCTTTCATTCCCTTTGCATTAGTGACAGTGGCTTCAGAACGTTCATGAATTCCATTCCCCGAGAACAAGTTAATTCTGACAGCTGCAACATGCAGATTTACTGGATGGAATGATATTGGTTACTTGCCTGCTCTAGTCACTCCTGCAGAACTTACAGTAACACTCCTGTGGGTAAGAGGAAACTGAGAGAATATAAATTTCACAGGTTGCAGGAAACTAGACTCTCTATTCCCCTTGTGATGTATATCGTTTTCACATTCTGAGCACTTTGCCCTTAAATAGTTTACAAAAATCATTCAGACTCTTCAGCTCACGTAAAATTGGTCAGTGAATAGTTGTTTAAATGATTAACCGATAAACCTGGACTTGTTGGTTAATCCTGTCGACTACACACACTCCCCACCACCCTTGCTGCCTCTGTATCAGAGGCAACAAGGGGTGGGGGAGGTGGGAGCCGGTACTGGTGGGGAGCTGGATTAAAAGCCAGCTCCCCATGAGCACCAGATCCTGTGGGGGTACCTGCTCCCTCACACCCGCGCTGTTGCTTCTGATAGAGAGAGACAGCAGTGTGGAAGGCGAGAGGGGTAGGCAGGAGACGGTACATGCGGGAAGCCAACTTTTAAGTTGGCTCCCCATGAGAACGGCCTTCTCCCTCCCTGCTCTGCTGCCTCTGTATCAGAGGCAGCAGAGCGGGGGTGGGGTGGAGAAGGACAGATGGGATATCGGAGCAGCCTCTGTCCACAGGGAACTCGGGCCCCTTATGAACAGAGGCTGCTGTTACCCCATGCTGCTGCTTCTATATCAGAGGCAGCAGTGTGCGGTGACAGGCAAGAGCCAATCTGTGTGGGAGAGCCAATTTTTAAGCTCCGCCTGCCACCCTGTGCAGTTGCTTTTGATACAGAGGCAGCAGCACGGGATGGCAGGGGGCTCCCTGGGAGTGGGGCTGGGAGTGCACTGGAGACCTGGACAGTTCCATCCTGTCATCCCTCCTGCTCAATGATTCCCCGGCTTTAAAATCACTCAGACTCTTCAGCTCATGTAAAATACACCAACTTATTACTGTAGTTGGATGAGCCATTTGAGCATGTGGCTTCATTTTCAGGGCTCATAGGAATGGCAGGCACCTTGGAGAAGCCAGAAACTATTGTACCCATGAATCACATGGTATTTGTTCTGCAGGTCAACATTTTAACACAGCAAAGTGATTTCCAAATAACGGCCGTTACTTCGAAATAACTTTCTTAGCGTCTACACAAGCCAACCTCTATTTTGAAATTAAATCGAAATACCAGAGGGCTTATTTTGAAATTGGTAAACTTCATTCCACGAGGAAGAACGTCAATTTCGAAACTGCTATTTTGAAATAAGTGCTGCGTAGACACTTAATTCGAAATAGGGGGCCTCCAGCCCTTTTCAGGGTGCCCTGGTGGCCGCTCCAGCCTCAACAAGAACACTCCTCTCCCTCCCCCCTCCCCACCCCGGAGCCCTTAAAGGGGTAGCCTCTGGCCACAGTGCCTGTCCCAGCTCCAAGCCTCCCAGCCCAGAGCCAGCAGTCACTTCCTTGACCAGTGGCCCCAAAACATGAGCCAGCAAGCCACTGGCAGCCAGCCCTCCACCGCTCCCCAGGAGCAGTCTGCCAGCTCCCAGGAGCCTGACAGGGCCTGGAGAAGGCGGGCGCCTTCCTGGTCCAGGGTGGAGATCATGGACCTTATTTAGGTTTGGGGGAATGCCCCCAACATTCATGATCTCTGCACTAGATGGAGATCTATGGGGGCTATCTAAGGATAGCTGCCAGCCTGGCCACCAAAGGCCACATGTGAACCCAGGAGCAGGTTCGCATGAAAATCAAGGAGCTGGGGCAGGAGTATGCCAAAGCCACAGGGGGCAGCTCCCAAACAGGGGAAGACACCTGACCCTATTTTGACGCCCTGGACCACATCCTGGGGGGTGGGATGGTCCATGCCCCCCAGGTTGTCGTTAACCCTGGGGCAGAGGGCCCTGACCAGGACATGGAGGAGGAGGAGGGCCAGGAGTCGCAGGAGAGCGGAGGGACCGTGCCGCGCACCCAGGACCCCCAGCAGGCCTGTCACCGGTGTCCTCCGAGGCTGGGGAGGCATCAATATGTGAATGCTGTCACTGTCCCCTAATCCCGGGGAGGGGGAGACGGAAACCAGGGACTGCGCATGTGGGCCTTGCTTGTCCACGGATCACGCAGCAACCTGTGCATGTGCGAGCATGTGCTGTGCCACCCCTGGGCATGTGGCCCCAGCTGGCTGCCACACAGGGGCCTTACCCTGTTAGCCACACGCGTGTATGTACGAAGAGGCATGACAGTCTCCTGACTCGAGGGTGGGACACAGCAGGACGCCCTCGCTCCACAAGGCCACTCTACACAGAGGCAGGGGACATCTCTCCCGCACAATGTAGGGGTACCAACAGCACCGGGTGCAAGAAGACCTGCAGCTCCGGTGGGAGTAGCTTGCCCAGGGCCGTGCCATCTGCCAACACCTGCACACCCTGGTGCAGAGCGTGCTGCGTTCTACCGCTCCAGCGCCTGCTGCCTCCCCAGCTACCGCTCCTCCTCCCACTCCTTCTCCTATTCCCGCTTTTCCCTCTACCCCCCAAGGACACCAAGGCCCCAGCACCCATGGTGCTGGGAGACAATTGGTCCGGTGAGCCCCCAACCCTGAGCTTCCCTTTCCCCTTCTGCCCCTTGCTTCCCTCCTCCCAGGTTTCCTTCTCCCCTCTCCCACCCCCCCCTCTCCTGCCTCCTTTCTCCAGTCTCACGAGTTTTATTCACTTCCCTCCCTATTTTGTTAAATAAAGAGAGTTTGTGTTCATGAAAACACGTGTATTTTGACATCAGGAAGGGGGGTTAGGGAGGGGTAAGGGGGTAAGTGGAAGGACGTGAGGGAGGAATGAGGCACAAGCCCCCAGTGGGGCAGACCAGGGAGGCTCTTAGAGCTCCTCAGGGCGGAAGCTCTCCTGCAGGGCCTCCTTGATCCCGATGGATCTCCTGGATGGCAGTCTGCAGAAACTGCAGCCAGGCTCGCAGCAACACAGCCACGAGAAGCACCAGAGTGTCCAGGGCAGCTCTGGCTCCATGTTGCAGAGTGCGGTGGTGTCCCGTGTGAGGGCAACCAGAGCACACAGAGACAGAATGCTTTGCTGTCTCTCATCGAGGTAGGCAGGCAAGTAGGAAAACCTGAGAATTGGCTGCCTGGTGGGAGGGTGGGAGGGAGGAGCACAGACCTCAGATAGCCTCAGGCAGCAGCCACACAAAGTAACTCCTAACCTGATGCCCTGCCGGAACTGGTTCCGGCCAGCCTTAAATACAATTCAGTGTCCACTCAGTGTGGACGCACTATTTCGAAATGCATTTTGTGTGTAGACATGTTATTTCAAAATATCTTATTTCGAAATAACTATTCAAAATTAGATATTTTGAAATTACGCTGTAGTGTAGACGTACCGAAAGTGTGGTATGTCTGACTGACAAAGCATTTAAATTACCCTGCAAACATCTGGGGACAGGAGTTTTTTTTTAAAAAAGAAAGTTCATCTAATTATATTATCTTTCACTTAAGCAAGTTCCCCAGGCACTTTGAGGAGTTATAAATCAGTACAAAAAGGAAACAAACAGTGATCTGAGAAACTGTTTTATACAAATCTATCTCACAGTTACTATTTAGTACTATATGTAAACACAGGTTTGTTAACTGCAACTGAAAATAAGAAAAGGATACTCTAAATTTGCCCTCACAACATTCAGGAACACCTTTGAGCCAGATGCGACTTCCATCTTTAAGCCAGGAATCTCTCACCACTCCTGCCCTTTTCAATGAGTGTTCTGTATTTAATTCTAGAACTAGCTCCAGCACACACTCATTTCAATCCTAGAACTAAGAAACTGATGGGTAGTTCTTTGTCCTGATATCAGAAAACCACAAGGCACCCCAAAAATAGAGAAAAAGGCTTACACTGATTCTCAAAAAGAAGAACTTGCATTCCATAAAGGGAAAAGGATTGTCGAAAACTGTATGTCACCGAATTCTTCTTCTTTTGAAAGATCTTGGTGACCTGAAAATATCAATTAAAAAACAGACAAAATAAGAATGTGTTCTTTAATCTGAATGTCAGTGGAAAGCACTCAACTATAATAATGGAACAATTCTATGCAAACTACTTCAATCACTCTTGGCACTGGTATATCCCTCCTCTACTCCCAAAGACAGTTTCTAGTCTGCAGTACAATAACTATTTGCTACATTTGCTTTTTCCCCCTCCTGCACTGGGATTGGTCTCTTGGGATAAGATTCTACAACCTTTGCGTGCAGAAAGATAAATAAGGCTTGAAAAAGTTACATGACACCTACCTCCCAGAGAGCTTGGAGTGAAAATATCTATGTATTACCGTATTTCCCAAGGCCACAGATAAGAAACAAAGCAAACTTATAGGGATGGTGGTAGGATTCCTATCAGTATGTGGTCTGTGGACTTGGTTTGTGGAACAAATTCTTTTGTAGCTTCCTCCCACTAGTTAATATCTGAAGCGTGTATCCCTTCTGGCTACTACCTGGCCAGAGCAGCTCTTCCTCTCTCTGTCCTACAATGAGATTGCAGAGGGATGGACCAAGGTACTGGAATGGAACTCAGGAGATCTGGTTTCAGTTCTGGAACCTGCTATGTGACGTGGCCACATTTCTTCACCTCCTGGTGCTTCTGATTCCCCTCCTACCCTTGGTCTGTCTTGTCTGATTAGACTATGTTTGTATAGTGCTTAATACACTGGAACCCTGATTCTGACAGACTTCTAGGCACTAAAGAAATACAAATAACTCCTGCTCCACTCTTCAGTCTGTTTTTGAGACATCCTCCACAGTGACTAGATCCTGCCTCTGCTGCAGCTCACAGCTAGCTCATCCAGCAGCAGAATAAGATTGACTCTGTTCTTGTTCATTTTAACTTCTAGCTATAGAGTTCCCCATTTGCACCAATAACTAATGAGACTCTGGTCAGTTTTCACTGATACATTTGACAAAACTATTATCATCAGACTAAGGGAGACAAGATAGAGACTCTTTGCAGAGAATGACAATGTTCCGTGGATTTACTCTCACGATTTGGACATGAAGGTTATTTTTCTGTTTTTAAAGGAAAGCCTGCTTTGTTCAAGCCCCGAGCAATAGTACAAATTGTATATAACGAGCAAGCACTGTACCTATATGGCACCACTCAGAGCAAAATGCCAACCAACTTAATTCCCCAGGTAAAAATCAAAATACATTCGGGGTACGTCTACACTGGCATGGTTTTGCGCAAATACTTTTAATGCAAGAGTTTTTGCGTTAAAGTATTTGCGCAAGAGAGTGTCTACACTGGCATGTGCCTTTGCGCAAGAGATGTGCTTTTGTGCAAAAACATCCGTGCCAGTGTAGACGCTCTCTTGCACAAGAAAGCTCCGATGGCCATTACATTGCCCGTCTACACTGGCCTCTTGCGCAAGAACAGTTGCGCAAGAGGGCTTATCCCTGAGCGGGAGAGTCAGAGTCTTTGCGCAAGAAGCACTGATTTCCTACATTAGAATATCAGTGTTCTTGAATGTAGACAGAGCCTCAGACTGCAGAGTACTGAAAGTATTCCTGCATTTGAAAGTAATTCAAATCAAATGCTTCCAAACTGTTACTCCTTTTATTTGTATTTTTACAAACAATGGGCTCAGCTAACTGTATGCTGGAAGGAAAATAATCTGTACAATATATTTTAACATATTCAACTTAGGGTGTGTCTAGACTACTGAGTTTTGTCGACAAAAAGGGACTTTTGTCGACAAAACTATCCCAGCGTCTACAGCACCGCTGAGTTCTGTCGACGTTATGTCGACAGAACTCAATGTGTCTGGATGCTCTATGTCGACAGAAGTTTTGTCGACAGTATCTGTCGACAAAACTTCTGTCGACATAGAGCATCCAGACACATTGAGTTCTGTCGACATAACGTCGACAGAACTCAGCGGTGCTGTAGACGCTGGGATAGTTTTGTCGACAAAAAGGGACTTTTGTCGACAAAACCCTGTAGTCTAGACGTACCCTTATATTCAAGAGAATAGACACATCTGATCGTAGCACATTTATTGAACATAGATCAATAGTCAGGTGTAATTATTTTTTCCTGTTTTGTTATTTTAATAGCCAGAGAGCCTTTTTTGAAGCAGATAATCTGGAACTATCACAAATATTTTCCGCAACAATAAACTATTGTATTAAACTACTTTCTTATCGCTAACAGTAGTAACTAGAAAGAACTTTTCAAAGAAAATCATAGTATCACAAAATTGTAAGTGAGTGAAGAGGACTAAGAATACTTGGGAATTTATTCCAGTGCTTAATAACCCTGACAGTTAGGAAGTTTTTCTTAATGTCCATCCTAAACTGCCCTTGCTGTAATTTAAGCTTCATGTTCTATTCTCAAAGGTTAAGGAGAAAAGTTTTTCTCCCTCTTCCTTGTAATAACTTTTTATGGTCTTGATTATGCCCACATTTAGGGGCTTAGCAGTGATTATGAACAGTTAGACATGAACTCTTCCTAGACTATTTAAGGATCTAGTTCATAATCATGGGTCACTAGAACACAATTTGTATTGTGAATTGTGACACTTATTTTTTAAATGTATTTGAATTATAATAATCCAGGCTCCTGCTCAATGCTCTGGGGGTCCATCCTACAAATAATTCAGACAGTGCATAATACAAAAAAAGAAATGCTCAGACCACCTTGACTCGAACAAATATTAACCAGCTAAAGTCAGATAATAAAATTAACCTAGAATCTGGGCTGGGATTACTTACGAAAGGCCTGGGGAAAATGACAGGCTTTATTGTCATGAAGTATTAATGATATTCATGCAAGTAATCCATAGCCCTAACACCATGCTTTTTTTCCTGAAGATTTGCTAGAATTGACTTAATTTATTATAAGGATAAACTCAATAAGTAGAACTCAATTTTTAAAATTCAACATATTTGCAATGATATACTCACTGCTTAGATAAGAAAGATCTTCCCCTTGTAAACTAAACTCTTCTACTTCCTCCAAGCGTATGCATATAACATGGGAAGGGAAACCTATGTTGTAGATAACTATAGGATACAACATCCTTAGTTTATAGCTATTAAAATCCAGATCCATAACACTTTCCCTCTTAGTACATACAACCTGTTGGATTTTCAGTGTCCTGTTTCCCATGGAAAACAATGGGAATGGAAAACACCAGGCTCCATCAAAATAGTGCTAAGCCCCAAGAAGACTGAGGGTCACATTTTTAAAGATATTAAGGTGTATAAAGGTGCGTAATTCCCCTGAAATCAATAGAAGTTAGGAACCTAGGTATTTCTGAAAGTTCCACTGGGTGCCATCTACACCAGTTCCATTGGATGCCATGGACTCACTCTGAGAAAGCTGCTAGCAGGTTGCTCCGGCTTGTTTACTTACTGACTCTGCAGCCATGGAGCCTTATGGCTCCTACTGGCTGCGGTTCACAGTTTGCAGCCAAGGAGAGCCACGGGAAGCAGCGGCCTGAGTCTCATGGCTTCCTGCGGCTTCTCTTGGCTGCAAATGGGGAACTGCAGCCAATGGGAGCCATGAGGCTCCGTAGCTAGTAATAAACAAACCAGAACTGCCCACTAGCAGCTCTCTCAGAGTGGGTCCACGGACCTCTCTGAGAAACATTGCCTTAGGCACATGAATACCTTTAAAAGTCTGGCTCCCAGCCTTCAGCAGTATCTGCAAAACATTTGGATTTTAGAAAGCTGGACCTTATGAGTTAGAAAAACAACATTATGTTGCAGACAACATGGTTGATAGTGCTAGTAAAGCTCTCTAGCAAAAAAGCCTTCAGCCAGGGTGCCAAAAATACTCTGATAACACTATCTGGGCAAAGGTTAAGCTGTCTCCCTCTAAGCAAAGATAAGTAAGTGAAAGGCTGCAAAAATCAAGCAATGGAAATAAAGTTTTCTATACACTTCTTGGAATACTTAGGAAGTCTCCTTACTTATCAGAATCTCTGTGCTAATAAAAGCTTATCTTAAAAACATACATTGTGTCTGAAAATACATACCACAAGGAGGTCATTAAATAAAAATATTTCTCGCTGGTGCAGACCAAGCTTCTGAGGTTTATTTGGGTCTGGAACTTCAAACAACCTACAGTAGCAAACAAGTCTCCGATGGGGTAGAGAGAGTACCTATGATATAAAGAAAAAGTACAACACTGATTTCAATTAATAAAGAGTGCCTTTCTTGCCTGAAGACTTTATACTTATGCTAATACTGTACTTCTAATATTCTTAGTTATTTAAGATCATTCATAGACCATTTTTTTCAAAGGATGAACAATATAACAACATAGATATATCTACTGCAAAGTTTCAACAAATCTGCAACATAACGAAATCATTTTGTCAGATATTCTGTAGGGATTTGTATTCTGCACACTGAAACCAATGGGCGTTTTGTATAGTTGAAAAACAATGAACAAAATTAAGGAGAAACTGTGATCACACAGCAAAGTGTTTCCATTTTGTTGCACACTTTTAAATAGCTAATATCAAATAACAGAACGCAAAATTATTTCACTTCTTGTGAGACAGTGAATACACCAGGCTTCAGAGGTTTTTGTTGTTTTTAATCATTTGCTTTTAATTGGTTAATTCAATCTGTGCATTCATGATATCAAGGGGAGGTGGTATGAACAGGAAAAAGTAAATGCATTTTTAGTCTGACTTCTTTTCTCATGCTGATAAGAAAACCAATAACAACTTCCTCCTTTCCTGAAACATCTCTCCCTACATCCTCTACAGAAAATTGTTATTCTGTATCTACTGAGACTTCATGTCTTTCAAATGAAAAAAAGATTATTCTGCCAGTCATATTAAAAATGGATGTTTTTAATTTTTTTCCAGGTCAAGCATAGACTATTCCTTTGCATTTAGACTTCTTTTTCTTATTTTAAATGAACTACTTTATTACAACCTCTTATTTTGCATGAGTAGAGAATGTTTTGTTAGGCCAAGCAAGCTGAACAAGCAGAGACTGTTAGGAAGTGTTTACTATTGCTCTAAATCAGTAGTTCTCAAAACTTATTCACGGTGTGGCCTGTATTTCAGTACAGAAACGGACATGGACAACTTTCCCTCCTTAGTCATTTCATTGGGTGGAATTCTGGCCTTATTGAAATCAATGAGATTTTTGCCACTGACACTAATCATGACAGGATTTCACCCCCAGTAGCCATTACTTATTCTCCTGTGGTTTTTGCCAGAGGAGGATAGTTTTAAAACCTGACTAATACTACATGAGTCCAGCTGGCAGAGAATGCTAGAGAAAAGGTGCTGAGTCAGTTTGCCTTGGTCAGCCTTGCCTAGGTTTGCCAGATGGTTTAACCAAAAATACCGACTCCTCCCCCTCCCCGCAAAAACAAAAAAACAAAAAAACACACACACACATCTGGGGAAAAAATTATACTGAGGGGGGAAAAAAAGGAGAGACCAAAGTTGAGAAAAAACAAACAAAAAAAACATGAAAATAGCATGGCCCCTTTAAGTGTGTGCAGAGTCAGAATAGGGATAGGAAGACGGGAGAGGTTGAGCACTAAGACCCAGGGAAGGCATTGCTTCCCCTTGATTAGGGTCTTTAGGCTTTTTGCCAGCGGTTACCTTGTTTTCTTGGTCAAGCCAGAAGGCAGCTTCCCTGCGGAACCAGGTAAGGCGGGGGGGAGCAGTTGCTGAGTGTGTCATAGAGTTGCCAGGTGTCCGGTATTTTCGCCTCCTGGCAGGGAAAAAACCCAGAAAATACTGGACATTTTAGGTGTCTGGTATTTTCTGATTTTTTTTTAACTGGACAGGAGGCGAAAATACTGGACTGTCGGGGTCAATACTGCACACCTGGCAATCCTAGCCTTGCCCACTTTATGTTCTGGACTAGGCAGTATGGGCTCCCACCAGTGAAGGTCTTAGAGGTGTTTTAGGCTGCTGCATTCCCCCATCTCCAGGCAGACAGACTTCCCTCCCAAGGGCTGGTAGGCCGGGATCTGCCACTGCAAGATGATAAGGCTCTCAGAGGTAAATTGAGCCCAGTTAATTTAGAATTAACTACAGAGAGACCTACAAAAACATTTTCATCCCTAACCATCAACAGAGGTATCTTCCAGAGCATTTTCACAACCGCCAGCATTGCTAAACATGCACCTAGGAAGTATGAACAGATGCTTCCATTAGCCTATGAAATAAAGCTTTCCACAACTCTACCAAGGCTTCCACGCTGGCTGCTCATGCAAGGATGGCACAAGGCAGGCAGATTAAAGGAAAGCAAATGAGAAGTAATGGGAAAATACATTCTCTGGGTTATCCTAGGGTAAAATAATAATGTAAAATAAAAAATCATTGAGTCAAATTTGTAAAATGACATCTAATCTTTTGAGAGAAGGTGCTACGTTATAAACATAGTACAAAACTAAGCCAGGGAATTAGCGTTTATATTTCTCTTTCACTGCCTTGACATACATTTTTTAAAATGGTTTTTACAGTAAAACTCCGTTGGTCCGGCATCTGATGGTCCGGAACTCCTGATGGTCCGGCACCATCAGGAACCCGGAAGTGCTCCGGGCAGCTGGACCATTGGAGCTGCTCTGCCCCCAGCTTCCCCAATTCAGCCGCTGCTAAAACTGACCAGCAGCTGAATCGGGGAAGCCGGGGGAGAGCAGCTAGGGGGCCGCCG